GAGTATTTTCACCCACTTCATAAAAACATCATTCCTGCCTTGTGATACTTGGGTACTTGTTTTACTCTTCAGTCCCTGATCCTCACTCTACTAAATCTTAAACTTCACAACAGGAGCCTCTTTTAATCATCTTTGCATCCATGAAGCTCTTAGCCTGGTGGCTTGTGCAGAGTTGATTATAGATAATGGTTGAAGTGATTGTTCATGGCAATTACATTGTTAAAGCTGTACAGCTTTCCAATTAAATAAGCAATGCAGAATTCTATCATGTATGTTTCCATTGCTCAATGCTTACTCTAAACTGGGAGAGTTTGTTCTTTCTGCCATGTTGCTATGGCCAGTTCATCAAATTCCATCCATAATTTTTGGTACTTTGTTCTTTCATGTTCTCATTCTGAGATGTGGGCAAATGAGTTTCTTAGGGAAACCTATATTGTTGGGATCCAAGTGTCATCATAATGAATCAAAAAGAAATCTATCACATTCCTCCCACATTAGAACACCATTAAAGCTTTCATACTGTTTCTAGCGATACATCCAAAATGTCACTGTTTCATAAAACATCTTCATAATTTTTCAGCATAACCATGTACATTAATTATTATTTACAGTCTTTGTTGTCTTTAACTCACCTTTTTGGCTTAGATTCCATGTGCTAGTTATATTTTTCTGATTTTTATTACACAAAATACATAAATATGAAAATGAAAAATCTCTATACCACCGAATGCATCTTTTTTTTCCACCAGTGGCATGCAGAGCACAATTTTAGAAACACCAGCTCTATGGATGAAGCCGATGCTCATTGCCTGATTTCTAAAATATCAATAATCTACTTTATGTCTTCAAACATTGTGTATTATTCTCCCATCATATATTTTCCCTTCCCTGAGATTTTCTGGGCAGGTTGCACCTCCTTCAGTGTGTCTGCTTATTTGATTTTATCAAGTTCAGTTTTCTCCACCTCCATCAGTGTATATGTACGAATGAAATAATTCTCCAAATAGAAAACAGTAGCTCCCACCTTCTAGGCTGTGTTTTAATTTAAATGTCCTTGGTAAACCAAGGAGATACACAAAAAACTTTACTCATCATTGACATGAGATATTTTTGGGTGAAAAGGGAAAATTAAAAGATACAAGTTCATAGTAAT